TCAGCCCTGACCCTATTCCGAGGTCACAGGAGGTCAGGACCCAGGTCTGAACCTGCAACCTGTTCTGTGTCTGGCGATGTTCTTGTTGAGCCACCTGGAATGCCTGACAGCTCCCTGAACAATTCCTTGAATGATCCTGCCTCAGGTGAGTGTTTAAGTGGGATGCTGGGAGGCACTGACATTGTAAGGTTTTTTTTACCTATGCTTTCTCTGCATTAAGGTAAAAACCCTTCAGTGTGCTGCTTCCCTCCCACAGCCCCCATTATACTTACCTGAGCCCGATCTCAATTCAGAACTGTGCATGAGAGCAGCAGCTCTCTTGGCTGTCTCTCTCTCCTCATTGGACAGAGAGGCAGCAGCGGGAGCCACTGGCTTCTGCTGCTGTCAATCACAGCCAGTGGGGAGGGGGAGGGCCAAGCTGGCTCTATGTGTCAATGGACACACAGAGCCATCTCAGTAGCAAGCCCACATTAGTGCCCCCAGACGGCTTGCTATGGGGGGCACTCGGTGGGGGTGGAGGGGACCAAGAGTGGGAGCACTCCGCGGAGAGAGGAGCCTGAAGCAGGGGTCCCACAGAAAAGGAAAATCGGGGCTGCTCTGTGCATAACCATGGCACAACAGGTATGACATTGCATAAAAAAAAAAGTGAGCATTTACAATAGCTTTAATTATACTGAGAAAATGTAGATATTTTGATAGGTGTCAGGTAGACAAATGGTTCTTGTTATTTAGCACTGGTATAAGAACAGCAAAAGAGGTGGCCTCAATATTTAGTGTGGGATTGTTGCCTGGACCACTTTTAAACCAGGTGGATTGCAAATGGGTGAGTGCGTAATCAGTCTTTATGTCTCTGATGAAGTCTTGATGATGTAATACATATGTGGAGACTGACAAAACTGGAACCTGGAAGGGACGCACTGGCTAGGACTGGCTGAATAGGGCAGGGCTCAACAAATCCCAGGTGCCAGGTCAAAAGGCCGATTAGAAACTGGGTTCACACACTGCCTCCCATTGACTGCAATTAAAAAACGCCTCCCATAGCCTGCAGTGCAAAAATGCCTCCCATAGACTGCAATGCAAAAAGCCCTCCCATAGACTTCAATGCAAAAACGCCTCCCACAGGCTTCAATGCAAAAACTCCTCCCACAGCCTTCAATGCGAAAATACCTTCCACAGCCTTCAATGCAAAATTGCTTCCCATAGACTTCAATACGAAAACTCTTGTCAATAGCAATACTATGTGAACACTTATCTCCACATGCCACTCTGCTCTATCATGTGCAAATCTGTAACACATCACTATATTACTCTTTGTAAGGGCACTCAAAACACACCGCATGTCAATTACATCTGTGTGAACTACCTCAATAGGAACACATAATATCTAGCCTGTCATGTGAACCTGAGTTTGATAACACATCTAGAATCACATACAGTGGGGCAAAAAAGTATTTAGTCAGCCACCAATTGTGCAAGTTCTCCCACTTAAAAAGATGAGAGAGGCCTGTAATTGGCATCATAGGTAGACCTCAACTATGAGAGACAAAATGAGAAAAAAAATTCAGACAATCACATTGGCTGATTTGGAAAGAATTTATTTGCAAATTATGGTGGAAAATAAGTATTTGGTCACCTACAAACAAGCAAGATTTCTGGCTCTCACAGACCTTTACCTTCTTCTTTAAGAGGCTCATCTGTCCTGCACTCATTACCTGTATCAATAGCACCTGTTTGAACTTGTTATCAGTATAAAAGACTCCTGTCCACAACCTCAAACAGTCACACTCCAAACTACACTATGGTGAAGACCAAAGAGCTGTCGAAAGACACTAGAAACAAAATTGTAGACCTGCACCAGGCTGGGAAGACTGAATCTGCAATAGGCAAGCAGCTTGGTGTGAAACAAATCAACTGTGGGAGCAATAATTAGAAAATGGAAGACATACAAGACCACTGATAATCTCCCTCGATCTGGGGCTCCACGCAAGATCTTACCCCGTGGGGTCAAAATGATCACAAGAACAGTGAGCAAAAGTCCCAGGACCACACGGGGGGACCTAGTGAAAGACCTGCAGAGAGTTGGGACCAACGTAACAAAGGCTACCATCAGTAACACACTACGCCGCCAGAGACTCAGATCCTGCAGTGCCAGACGTGTCCCCCTGCTTAAGCCAGTACATGTCCGGGCCTGTCTGAAGTTTGCTAGAGAGCATTTGGATGATCCAGAAGAAGATTGGGAGAATGTCATATGGTCAGATGAAACCAAAATAGAACTGTTTGGTAGAAACACAACTCGTCGTGTTTGGAGGAGAGAGAGAATGCTGAGTTGCATCCAAAGAACACCATACCTACTGTGAATCATGGGGGTGGCAACATCATGCTTTGGGGCTGTTTGCTGTTTCTCCGCAAAGGGACCAGGACGACTGATCCATGTACAGGACAGAATGAATGGGGCCATGTATCGTGAGATTTTGAGTGCAAACCTCCTTCCATCAGCAAGGGCATTGAAGATGAAACGTGGCTGGGTCTTCCGTCATGACAATGATCCCAAACATACCGCTCGGGCAACGAAGGAGTGGCTTCGTAAGAAGCATTTCAAGGTCCTGGAGTTGCCTAGCCAGTCTCCAGATCTCAACCCCATAGAAAACCTTTGGAGGGAGTTGAAAGTCCGTGTTGCCCAGCGACAGCCCCAAAACATCACTGCTCTAGAGGAGATCTGCATGGAGGAATGGGCCAACATACCAGCAACAGTGTGTGCCAACCTTGTGAAGACTTACAGGAAATGTTTGACCTGTAATTGCCAACAAAGGATATATAACAAAGTATTGAGATGAACTTTTGATATTGACCAAATACTTATTTTCCACCATAATTTGCAAAGAAATTCTTTCCAAATCAGCCAATGTGATTGTCTGGATTTTTTTTCTCATTTTGTCTCTCATAGTTGAGGTCTACCTATGATGCCAATTACAGGCCTCTCTTATCTTTTTAAGTGGGAGAACATGCACAATTGGTGGCTGACTAAATACTTTTTTGCCCCACTGTATGTGTGAACCAGGGCGGCTCCATTCATAGAATCGCTGTGATCGCAAAACACAGTTTTGCGTGCCATTATTTTCAATGGCACCTAAAATGTGGTGCAGTTTTACTGTGATTGTCTCGCAGCAAATCACATTGCCTGAAGCTTGACGTCCAAAAGTTTCCTTGCCCCGGGTGCTGACAACCCACACTATGCTAAAAAAAAAACTGGCTCCTAACTCTTTTAGCTGGCTCCTAGATTCAAAGCAAATTAGCCAAGACCTGGTATAAGGAAAAAGTGTTATGTGGCTAGGACTGCAGCAGTTTACAGGTGAGGATTATTTTAAGTGCTGTCTCATGTGCATGGAGTATAGCACACCGTGTTTGTAAGTGTGATTTTATCTGGTTGCTCTAATAAAAGATTATGGTGTTACGGTTTTAAAATATTCTCATATTTGCATGCTTTATTCTTTCGGAGTGTCTCTGAAATACCAGAATGAGAGTTTATGTTGTACAGACCAGATGTCCCTTTGAGTCCTTAAAGGGTTATAAACTTGGTTGACCTAATATATTTTAGTTGGGGTCTATATTGGAAGGTGAGTGCTAATCCTGGTGAGAAAGTGAGAATCATCAATGGATTCACTAATATTTTGCTGCTATTGATAAATGTGTTGAGAATTCGTTTTAAGGACACTACTAGAACAGTTTCACATTAAAAGTACTTTTGGTAGATTCTGCACAGTGGGAATATGGGAATATCGAGTTGGAGAAAGACAATTACACTGACTGATCACTTGATTTATCATTTAAACATTGATTATGCACTATTTTGTACTTTATTATTAATATTTCATTTGTGTATTGCACTTTATGATCTGGCTTATATTACACAATCAATGGAATATTAGTCACTGGTTTTATTATGGTGATATTTATTAAGGATAGCTAGGTTTGATATATTTAACACTAAACTTTATATATACAGGGGCCGTTCAAGTCAAACCGGGACTTTTAATTTTATAGGTATAAAAGGAATGCTAGAATGGTGGTACTACATGCAGTAGTAAGTGGAAAATGTGTCCTATTACTGATAGGCAGCGCATATGTCGCAAGGCCAGTATAGAGACAGTTAATCAAGATGGCAGACAAAAGTGTTAGTGCATGCGCTGATGAAGTATCTTGTAAACGAAGGCATAAAACCCTACAGAAAATTTCAAGCACAGTATGGTGATGAGACGCTTAGCCACAGGAAGACATTTGAATGGTGTAAACGTTTCAAAGATGGCTGTACATCCGTCAGTGATGATCCCAGGCCGTGGTGGTTCCCAGCCCATAGCAGTCATTCCTGTGAACATTCAGCGTGTGGTCCTGGATAATCGACGCAAAACCTGTCATGAAATTGCACAATAAACTAATCTCTCTCTGCTTCTCTGCCATCCAAGGACAGCAAGCTGTCCTAGGATGGTTCAGGTGTATGGGCAAATCTTTCTATGCTGAAGTTTTCCAGGCATTAGTTAAACGCTGCAATAAGCGTATAAATGTAGCAGGGGAGTATGTAATGCAGTTTCCACTTTATGAAATTTGTTCTTTTATTATATAAACTCAAATGTCCTGGTTTGACTTGAATTCCCCTCGTACAAATGCATAAATCATTCCTACAATGACTTCTGCACAGCAACGTAAATTGGACTCTCCTGTAATATCACTATAAGTAAATCTGCAATATAAAGCAATGGAGCAACGGGCACAAAGTATAATATCAGCAGCATAAAATTTCCAGCATGGCAAATATTGTCTACTGCAACCTATTCAATAGCTTCATTACCTATAAGAAAAGAGAACTACCCTTTAACTGAACATATGATAAATTAAATTTCAGACAAGAAAAAGTAACATTAGTCCTTTGAAGAATGTTTGACAAGCAGATTTCAGTCAGCTTAGGCAATAAAATCAATATATTTAACAAATATTAAGGGACTCACTCATCAAAAAGACGGTATGTCTCCACACGTTCAGCTTGTAATTCATAAAACCTTTTTAAAAGGAGATTGAAATCATTGTCGGTCTAAAAAAAAAAAAGCAACAAAGAATAAGTTAAATAATGTTATTTGCATGCCATCAACCCTTACTGATTGTTATATCGCTGCAATAGAGTAGGGGTTTACAGACATCTCATCTAATGCTCACCATACACAGTACAATATTAACCACTTGAGCTCCGGAAAGTTTTACCCCCTTCATGACCAGGCCATTTTTTCCTATTTAGCACTGCACTACATTAACTGGTAATCACATGGTCATGTAATGCTGTACCCAAACAAAATGTATATCTATTTTTTCACACAAATGGAGCTTTCTTCTTGGGGTATTTGATCACCACTGGGTTTTTTAGGTTTTGCGATATAAACAAAAAAAGCCCAAAATTTTGAAAAAAAACCCACAATATTTTTTACTTTCTGTTATACGTAAAACATATCCCATAAAAAAAAAATTAAAATTTTTCATAAATTTTGGCCAAAATGTATTCTGCTATATGTCTTTGGTAAAAAAAAAAAATCCCAATGAGTGTATATTGATTGAAATGGAATAGTAATAATGAGAATTAAAAAGGGAAAAAAAAGGTTGCAGTATTCACTAGCTAACATGCACAAGATGGTGGAGTTTTGGCTTAAAAAAAAAAAAAAAAAAAAAAAAATCCCAACTATGTGCAGTCACTAAGCAGCATGTCACTTGCCAATATCTAGTTCAACAGTGAGTAATTCTGGCTTTCCATGTGGATTTGTGTCATTCAGAGCGTGATCTTCCAGAGCCAGAGGGAAAGCTTCCAGTCACTGTGCACCAAATCACCGACAAAAGAAAATGGTGAAAGTGATCCCTTTCCCTATGCCTAACATTATCATTGCAAACTGCAGCGTCCTGACCCTTTGCACTCCAGCAAACACAGAGAACTGTGCAAATCACTGAACCACAAATACGATGCAATTAAAGCCTGTTCTACAACCTCAGCAAGTTGTCTATGGTACTCAATATATGCTCTCTTTATCTCACAATTGCAGCTTCTGAATTATTTATTTCAGGTATTTGTATAGCGCCATCAATTTACGCAGCGCTTTACATATATATTGTACATTCACATCAGTCCCTAACCCTCAAGAGGTGTACAATCTAAGGTCCCTAGCTCACATTCATACATACACATACTAGGGACAATTTAGACCGGCTCCAATTAACCTACGAGCATGTCTTTGGAGTGTGGGAGGAAACCGGAGTACCCGGGAGGAAACCCACACAGGCACAAGGAGAACATGCAAACTCCAGGCACGTGGTGCCGTGGCTGGGATTAAAACCAACGACCCTAGTACTGCCAGGCGTAAGTGCTAACCATTTAGCCACTACTGTGTTGCCCTAAGATGAACTTGACTTTTGACTTCAAAAGAACAGAGCAAATATTTTTAGGAATCTTTGTAAAATAAAATATCATAAAATATGCAATGCTTGTGTTTACTAAAAATGTACTTAAATTGTGTGGCTCATTCAAGGGCATTGGAGGTTAATGCAATGGGATCAATAACTTTCATCATCCCTAGGAGCCCATTTGGTGTTGTGGAACTTCTACATAGCTAAAAGTGAAAAAAATAATAAAGTTCATATGATTATATATAAATGTAATATTTTTTTTTTGTGTGTGACATTTTGTTTTTTGGATGCGTTCTTTTCCATTAATTTGTATGGAATTTATGACACTTTCACTGGTGAAAACATGTTTTGCCCTAAAACAATAAAACACCCAAAAAAGAGAAAAACATGAAATAATAATATGGAACAGTTATTTGTATTACTGTGCAAATGAATCATCACTGTCTGTGTTGTGTTTACTGGAATACTTGGAGCTGCTCTTTTTTTTTTTTCTAGATATTATGTTCGGTAAAACCCTCATTTAGATTTAAGATCACATCATTTGGAGAAGATGAATCACACAATAAGGACTGGTGTCCAAGCTAAACTAGCAATATAAAGAAAAACCTGCATCACCATCTACTGGTGTGCTACAGATATAATCCTTTTCACGCATCATTTTTTAAAATTCAAACAAAAATATAGATCTGGTGCAGCTCTGCATAGAAACCAATCAGCTTCCGGGTTTTATTGCCAGAACAAGCTGAAGTTAGAAGGCGATTGACTACTATGCACAGCTGCACCAGATTCTCAGTGCACCAGTTTTAGTACATCTCCCTCTTACTGTCTTGTTACAATTCAGTAGTGTCAAAATCCTGTATTTATTGCTCAACCTGATAAATCCAAGTACAGCATTTGATGCATTAGCAGAAGTTGTTTTCAGGTAATACCTCGTTTTAAACCCAAGAGTAGATCTGGAAATACAGACCGATAAAGAGTAAAGGCTAAGACCAAATAATAACTTTTAGTGAAACGGTTAGGGCTTGAACCCATCACCTCCTGCCTCCCAAACCTCGCTATTTTTTTATTGTCATAGGGGGTTTCACTGACCATCAGGAATAAAGGGGGGAGCTCAGGAGGCAGGATCAGTGAAGTATCATGCTACACTTTCATTCAATTGTTTGATTACATTTCTACGGCCAGTCTAAAGTTCAACTTTTCACAAAACGATTGACAGAATGGCACAAGTTTTGCCATAATTTGCAGGGTTTTTTTTTTTTTCAGGTTAAAAGCATTAGCTGGGTCAGTAAATCTGCAAAGTGTGTCAATTTAAGGGTATTTCTCGCAAACTATAAAGTGTATTTTAATTTGTTTACAGCATATTTCTACTATTATTAGAGTATTACAGTATTAGAGCTGATTAAATTGATTTCACAGCAGTTGTAATTCTAAATTGCCATGTGATTTCCTGAACAAACAGGCAAGAAATAGGCATATGGAGGTCATAAGACGGCTATTAGATGCTAGCGAAACAGTGATTGTGGCTGCTCTTCCAATGTATGACTAGCAGGAGAATCTGTGGAAAAGCAAATCAGACAATAGCACAATATGCACCCCTTGTATTTGAAACACCTGCTAATTCCCATATCCTGCTAGGAGAAAATAATTATAACCCCTAATTTACCCTCTTAGACTATGTCAATGAGACTTAAAGAGTAACTTCACTTGTGTTGAGGAAAAATATACCCCCTGGGTGACCTATGTACAGTGCCAGGATTTTTAACAAACTTTGTTGCAGATTCTTATCTTCCTTTTTGTTTTTCTGAAGAGATACATTGAAGGAAATAAGTATTTGATCCCCTGCTGATTTTGAATGTTTGCCCACTCACAAAGAAAAATGGAATGGTAGGTGTATTGTAACACTGAGAGACAGAGTAGCAACAAAAAAAATTCAAAAGAAATGCATGGCTAACAAATGATGCACTGATTTGCATGTTCATGAGGGAAATAAGTATTTGATCCCCTTTCATTCAGCAGGATTTCTTGCTACCAGGTGTCTTTCAAACAGGTAAAAAGCTGAGATTAGAAGCAGTCTCTTAAAGAGAGTGCTGCTAATCTCATTTTGTTACCTGTATAAAAGACACCTGTCCACAGGAGCAATCAATCAGATTCCAAACTCTCCACCATGGCAAAGACCAAAGAGCTGTCCAAGGATGTCAGGGACAAGATTGTAGACCTACACAAGCCTGGACTGGGCTACAAAACTATCGCCAAGCAGCTTGGTGAGAAGGTGACAACAGATGGTGCAATCATTCGCAAATGGAAGAAACACAAAACAACTGTCAGTCTCCGTAGGTCTGGTGCACCATGCAAGATCTCACCTCGTGGAGTGTCAATGATCATGAGAACAGTGAGGAATCATCCCAGAACTACACGTGAGGATCTTGTCAATGATCTCCAGGCAGCTGGGACCACAGTCACCAAGAAAACAATTGGTAACACACTACACAGGGGATTGAAATCCTGCAGTGCCCACAAGGTTCCTCTGCTCAAGAAAGCACATGTCCAGGCTCGTCTGAAGTTTGCCACTGAACATCTGAATGATGCAGAGGAGGACTGGTTGAAAGTGTTATAGTCAGATGAGACCAAAATTGAGCTTTTTGGAATCAACTCAACTCGCCATGTTTGGAGGACGAGGAATGCTGCCTATGACCCCAAGAACACCATCCCAACTGTCAAACATAGTGGTGGAAACATTCTGCTTTGGGGGTGTTTTTCTGCTAAGGGGACAGGACAACTGCACCGCATCAAAGGGATGATGGGCGGGGAAATGTAACGTCAAATATTGGGTGAGAAACCTTCTTCCCTCAGCCAGGGCATTGAAAATGGGTCATGGAAGGGTGTTCCAGCATGCCAATGACCTAAAACACATGGCCAAGGCAACAAATGAGTGGCTCAAGAATAAGCACATTAAGGTCCTGGAGTGGCCTATCCAGTCTCCAGACCTTAATCTGATTGAAAATCTGTGCAGGGAGCTCAAAGTTTGAGTTGCCAAACGTCAGCAACCAAACCTTAATGACTTGGAGAGGATCTGCCAAGAGGAGTGGGCCAAAATCCCTCCTGAGATGTGTGCAAACCTGGTGGCCAACTACAGGAAATGTCTGACCTCTGTGTTTGCCAACAAGGAATTTGCCATCAAGTACTAAGTCATGTTTTGTGAAGGGGATCAAATACTTATTTCCCTCATGAACATGCAAATCAGTGCATAATTTGTTAGACATGCATTTCTTTTGAATTTTTTGTTGCTATTCTGTCTTTCAGTGTTACAATACACCTACCATTTTAGACTGATAATTTCTTTGTGAGTGGGCAAACATTCAAAATCAGCAGGGGATCAAACACTTATTTCCTTCACTGTAGTTGTTTGTCTTTGCACCATGTGCAAAGTGAATGACTTTATAATTATCAATTAGCTGCTGAACTTGCAGGTTTCTAATAAGAAAAGTAGCAGGATCTGCAACCTTTTAGCAGACATAATGACATTTTTGTTGCAGGGGATGCCCAAAAACTGACTTGTACTATAGTGCAGACTTCAGTAAGCTAATCACACAAGCAGGAAATGACATTTCTGGGGGGCGTTCCATACATCAACTGTATCCAGAATGTATC